TATTAACGAGCACCTATGAAGGCCGGCACGGCACACGAGGGGGTGGGTGGCCAGCACCGCTGCTGGCCGCCTTTGTCTCCCCCAGCGTTGATGTTTAAACACCGCACCGGCTACTCATTGGAGGCTGAGTCGACCCAGACGGAGGCTCGGGACCGGTTTAGATAATCGTCATTGTCGTTGGCTATGCTACCGCCCCCCACTACCACCCCCCCCCCTGCCTCGCCCCCCACTGCCTCGCCCCCCACTGCCTCGCTACCACTCCCCACTCAGCGCCACCGCCGCGTCTCAAGACGTCACTCGCTGTGGGGGCCGACGTCCGCCCCACCGCCCTCGCCGGGCAGGTGGGGCGCACCGTTTGCCCCCTCCACTCCCTCCTACACCGCATCGATCGGCCCCCGCCGGGCCCCCCCGTGTTAGTGCCCCCTCTGAGGGACATAGCTATATCGCTGACTCACCGCCGCACGGGGTTATTCCACACACGCACACACGCTAGCGCTATGGCGGCGGCGAGCATGCACGCGCCCCTGCCGGCGATCAGACTCTAAGATGCGCCCGCACTAAGCCTGACGCTAAACGGCTACGCTAACGTCTGCGGGCGGTCATACGCTAATCCGCTTGCACTGCACACAAAGACCAGCGTTAAGCGGCTACACAAATTTGTGCGCGTGCCTCCAGGTGGTAATCCGCTTGCACACAAAGGCTAACGCTAAAGCGGCTGCATGAAAATGCGCGCCGGTAGGTGTTTATCCGCTATTCCGCTCCCACGTTAAGACGCGCTCTAAAGTGGCAGCGCGAACGCGCGCGCACCTGCAGGGGATTAATCGAACACACGCGCGCGCGTAAACACGCACGAGCGGTTTTAGCGCACCCCGCGCGAGCGTCAGCGTCCGTTTATGCTGTAATACACGCGCGTGCCTCACACACGCACTAAAATTACCAACACCGGGTCGAGGTTCCACCCACTCACACACAAATCACATTGCACCGATACTCTGTACTAAAGTTTATTAACGGCGCAAATATTTTGCGAGAAGAGCTTAGCCTAATACGTACCTCGAAGCTGTACTCACGGCATCGCATGGACGCTGTGAGAGTCGGAGGGAGAAGGACGAGAGAAAACTTCACCTATCACTGCCTCGTAGCAGCACTCTCTGACATCACATGGATGCTGCGAGTGGCTTGAGGAGACAGGACGGCAGGGAGTGGGTCTTGACGGCCCGGAGGTTGAAGACAAGAGACCTAAAATCGTCCTGGGCTACTATGTTTATTCTCTAAACTTCAAAGGCCCAAGGTGACGTCGTACCACGTTGCCAATCATGCGCTTACCTGCGCCATCGTCCCTCTCAACCGTTTCTACCGTGGCCTAATCCTCTCACTTCAAAGGCCCAGGGTGGCATTGTACCGCGCGGCCAATCGTGCACCTACCTGTGGTTATCGCCCCCCCCCGTTACCGTGTCCTTCCTCTTCTTGTCTGCGGCGGCGGTCGCTGGCCACCCATTGTCCCTCGTTGCCCATTGTCTGGAAGGGCGCTTGCACTTTTCTTGCTTAATATTCTGCCCTCCGTCCTCCTCCCAATGTTGTGAGTAACTCAATGCGGTTGGCCCAGGGAACCTTTTCTTTCTGCGCCCATACAATTTAAAAAAGTTTAGGGGCATCGCAATGTAACCTGTCCTGCGAGGATCGGCCAATCTCCTGGCACCGGGAAACCGTGGGACTTTCCCTCTAGGGACCCTTCGGATTAAACCCCGATGTGCCAGGCAATCCCCCCCAGGTCACTACGTGTGTGCGTGTGCTCAGGGTGGGGGGTAGTGGACAATCGCGGCGCTTGGGGAGCTGCTCCACGGTCGTGGCACCACACTCCTCGCGAGCCGCTTTGGATCGCATCGTCCCCTCTTCGCCGTCATCCCACGGCCGTCTCTTGGATGAATGACGGCGACTGTCTCAAATTGGACCCGCTCTGATGCAACATTCACGTATGTGAGTGTGTGTGCGAGCATCATCATTGTTGCTGTTACTCTTGTGAGAATTACGCAGAAATGGGAGACCAGAATCAAGTGTGGTGAGGCTGGGCGCGCGAGTGTTTAATGATAAGTTCGCACCCAAGTGTTCACACGCACGCTTCGCGCTCGACGCGGCTCTGTTTACATCGCACGGCTGTGTGACGGGACTCGTTGTATTAGCGCACAGTGGGGTAGCGCAGGTGGTGCATCTACCAGCCATCTCACTCAGTCAACCGATGGCACCTGGGCGCTTGTGACCTTCTGCCAGCAGCTGAGCCTTCTACATTTCACGTGCACCTGGCCTGGCACAGGCGCCGTGGTGACGTCACCGCCACTGAGTGTTGAACGGCGGTGGTTGTATTTACGTTGTACAACGATGCTCTACGGTATTCCCGCGGGCAGCACCTCCTGCAGAACTCACATCAGTCACGTGTGTGAATCACGTAAGTCAGCTGGGGCGTCGTATTATGCCATGAACCAGCGACTGCGTGAGTGTCGATTCCCGGCCAGGGCTAACATCGGAGATAAAGGCGTAGCAAGGACAGCCCTGCAGCTGAACAAAAGCAGAGGCTACCTCTCTGGTCAGAACGCTGGCAATCAGAGGGTGATACTGGTAGGAACCACCTAGTTCCACCAGCCCACAGGGGATTATTGTGTCCGTCCATCCGTCGTGCATCCAAAAATGGGAGGGGTGGGGCTGGGTGGAGAGGGGAGGGTGGGGAGGGGCTGGGTGGGGAGGGTGGGGAGGGTGGGGAGGGGCTGGGTGGGGAGGGGCTGGGTGGGGCTGGGTGGGGCTGGGTGGGGAGGGGCTGGTCACCCCGTGGTGCCCTTATAAAACTCCACGTTTAACCTACTCACGCCGGCTTGTGCCCGCCCTCACAGTCGGGCATATTTGCGGAATACACCACGCCGCCGTTGACCCTGGCCATTAACCGAGCAACCCAACGTTCCTACCAGCTCCCTCCGCAGGAATGTGTTTATCATGGGCGCCGTGCTGGCGAGATGTTAACTGCCTCGCCTGGTTTGCAAGAGGTAGTGGGGTCGATCCCGACCCTGACGCCTGCAGTATATTTGGAGTTTGCGGTGTCTCTCTCCCCGTGGTCGCGTGGATTTTTCTCTGGGTCCTCCAATTTTACACCTCCACATTTAGATTCAACATCACGCGCTGGGACCAATTTGGCTGCTATAGATTTCCACGCAATGAGCCACTTCGTCGAGCTATCATCTGTGATAGCCATGTTGCTTCTCAAAAAAAGCTATATAGATAGCTCAGTGAGCCTTATCTGGTAAACAAAAACATATTTTGTTATTAAGTTTAGTTTATTTTCGGTAACAAATACATGTACAGCGGTGTGTCCATTTTCATACACACGCGCGTGGCATTCTGCCCGGGCCTTCAGGAACCCCTTGCATGGCGCAGTGCGCTAACCGCGGCGCCACCGCTCCCCACCGTGTTACCGTGCAATGCTCGTCCCCACGGCAGTACAATGCATTCGCATGGCGCACAGGACAAACATCCACACAGCGCGCACACATCCTATTATGAGAGAGATCGTGTGTGTGTGTGTATATTACGTCACCGTGCGGTGTGTATAAAGCTATATAAACTAAAGATAAATATACCCGTGTAGCCTCACACGTGGAAGGATCAAGTGCTGTCAGTGGGCAGCTATTAAGGCCGTCACGGCGTGCGTGCCAGCCACGATGACCCAAGCCGTCTTTGTCTCCCCTATCGCGAATATTTTCCAAACCGCACTCAAGAGACGCTCTTCTCATTTAAGACCGAATCGACCTCGCGGACACCTCGCGTGAGTCCAAAGGTCGCGGTGCCACTTGCCACTGATGTGAGCCGTGACAGGGGAAGCGAACCAAACCCTCTCGGGTTTCCGAGCGCGGACGATCCCTCCCCCCACCCGCGTCCCTCCCCCCCCCCTGGGGAAGATCGCAGGGGAGGGGCTGTGGGGGCTACCCACAGTCGGCACTGGGGTTGGGGACGCCTCGTGTGGCGAGGCCAGCTCCGAAGAGTTCGGCGTCGCATTTCGAGTCTCGCGCGCCGTGCGCGCACGCAGACAGACAACGGTGGACCGAGTAGTTGGCCGCTCGAGGGAGTTTTGACGCTCAAGTTCGACAATGATGCCGGACGAGACGGGCGACATTCTCAGTGAGGCTGCCATTCCGGATCTCGGCTCGAATATTAGAACGATGAATGCTCGTAAAAGTCGATTGCTTAAAATACACGTCGTTTAAAATGAACGCGAGACATACACACAGTACGGAACTATACAAAACACGGGCTTAACGGTACCCATGAATGCATTTAAGAAGCAGTGGCATTTGTCTTTGTATCGGTGAATTTATTTTCCCTCATTATAACATCAGCCACGTGCACATTGAACACACAGGCGCACATCATTCCACACACACGCGCACATATAAAGACACAGATCCCCCCTATAGCCTTCACAGACTGTCGGGACAAGTGCAGTTAGCGAGCACCTATAAAGGCGCGAACGGCGCATGTGGGGGGTGGGTGGCCAGCACCGTTCCCGGCCGCCTTTGTCTCCCCAGTGCTAATGTGTACAGACCGCACCAGATCCGCATTTGAGGCAGAGTCGACCTGCTGGCAAGGCGCAGGACTGGCTCGGATGCAGTCATCGTCACCGGTGTTTGCGACGAACGGGAATCGAACTCGGTTGGCCGAGTTTGTAGCGGGGCGCGTGAACCGCGACACCGCCGCTCCCCGCGTGCACGCGCACCCGCAGACAGGACGCACGCGCAGACAGGACGCACGCGCAGTCAGGACGCACGCGCAGACAGGACGCACGCGCGCGCGGGAGAGGGGGGGGAGTCACAACAGAGGGGGGAGGAGATAATGCGGCGATACCAGGGCGAGAGAGAAGGCGGCATGGGGGGGGAGGGAGATAGAAGGAGGAGGAGTTGCAGAAAGTCTGGAGACGCGGCAGAGACGGGAGACGCAGCAGCACTGACGGGAGGAGCGGGAGGAGAGAGGCAGGGAGTCTCACGGGCGGGCAGAAGAGAGGGGACACGGAATGTTGGAGAGAGAGAATCGAGAGTCGCAGAGACGCAGGGAGACGCGGGGAGACGCGGGGAGCGCTTCGAGGGCAGAGAGAGGTCGTGGCGGAGTGCGGACGAGACGAGAGGGGAGAGGAGAGAGGGCGATGGAGGCGCTCCTCCGAGTTCCGTTGCTGCTGCTCGCGGCCTCGCTCCTCACCTGCCCGCCTCAACTCGTGCACGGTGAGCGGCTCACCTGCAACTCATCCTCCTCACCACCACCACTCACCTTCGCCAGGCAGCCTCGCCACAACTCCACCACAACCTCGTCGCCAACGCTCACTCACTCCAGCCTTCCCCGGTCCCAGCAAACTTCACCCATCCTCACCAATCCTCACCAAGCCTCACGGCCCAGATTCACCCAACCACCCTCACCAAGCCTAGCCACCCGAAGTCGATATGTAGGCGTTGTCGTCTATATATGAACCAGCTGCTATTTAATAGCAAGGGAAGGTAGAGGAGATGGACTCACCAAGTCCGCACCATCGTGTGCTCTTGAGAGCAGTGACTTGGGGCTTATTTCGTTGTTTGTTCGATATATATCCGAGTAACGATCGTGTGGTGGGGGGGCGGGGCACGGTGGCGAGATGTTAACTCTCTCGCCTGGTTTGCGGCAGGTCGTGGGTTCGATCCCAACTCTGACGCCTGCTGCTGCTGTATATTTGGAGTTTGTGTGTCTTTGTCTTCGCGTGGTCGCATGGATTTTTTCCGGTTCCTCCGGGTTTTCCCTCCATATTTAGAATCAACACGCGTTTCAAGTATTTGGCTGCGATACATTTCTACGCGAGAAGCCACTTGTTGAGCTATCACTTGTGATGGCCGCGTCGCTTCTTAAAAAGAGGCACACAGCTCAGTGGGCATCACCTGGTACAATAATGTAGTTTGAGTATCCGAGCCGGTCGGTTATAGCGACCATCAGGAGCGCGCAGTGTGCCGGGTGTGAGCGTGGCGCGCGTGTGTACGCACGCGCGTGGAGAATTTCGAACCTTCGAGACCATTCAGGCAGGACCGCCTCTGTGGGTCTCAAGGCTCTTACTCACGAGGGTCTTGCTACGGAACGTCTAGGCAATCCTCTTGGTTTGTTTCCGTCCTATTGAGTGCTCTGCGCGTGCGTGGAAGCTCGAGTGTCCGGAGAATATGAACACGTACGAGCGGATCACACTTAACAAGAAAGTTCGTACAGATGGGTTTTCAAACCCACTTGCTGTACTGCGATCTGTGGCTACCTCGTCGCTTATGAATCTGGGGAGTTTTACAACCCGTGTGTCTGTGACGCGGGATGACCGGCTGCGTGGCGATTGAACCGCGGGGATCTCGGCTCCCAACTCCATCCCTGCTCGTATCCCTCTCCGTAGGACTCGCCTGATGATGCTGGTCGTTGTAATCACCAGCAAAACGTCGTACTCAGATCGTAAATGTTGCGGGTTTACTCTCAAACACACCGGTGTGCTGAAGTCGTAACTAACTGGCACGTTTTGTCGGGTGGTAGTGAGTCTAACGACACATTTATATTTACGCGATCGAACCCAAAAAAACCTTTTCACGAAGGACGTTGACTCTCGACACCGCGAGTTGTCTTCATTTCATTCAAATCGTCGCTCTCCGAGTCGCCGTGAGCAGCGGTGGCCGCTCCACGCGGAACTCGCGCGGAGCCGGGGGGGGGGGTCACTCTGAGTGCCGCTGCCTGTGGGCGGCACGCGACTCCCATTCGCGTGGAGACTGCTCACACCTCCACCACCTCCATCCCTCTCCACCATCACTACCATCCCTCTACAATCACCATCCCTCTCCACCATCACCATCGCTCTCCACCATCACCACCATCCTTCTACAATCACCATCCCTCTTCACCATCACCATCGCTCTCCACCATCACTACCATCCCTCTACAATCACCATCCCTCTCCACCATCACCATCGCTCTCCACCATCACCACCATCCTTCTACAATCACCATCCCTCTTCACCATCATTCCTCTACATTACCATCCCTCTCTATCACAATCCCTCTCCACCACCACCATCATCCCCTCTTCATGACCATCCCTCTATAATCACCACCACCACCACCACCATCCCTCTACATCACCACCATCATCCCCTCTTCATGACCATCCCTCTCCGTGACTACCACCATCAACCCTCTCCATCACAACCTTCCATCACCCCCTCCCCCGCTCCACCCCTGCACGCCCCCCTCCCCTCCAGAGAGAGGTCACGCAGGCGGCAGGCGGCAGGGTCAGAAGCAGGCAGGACCTGCATCAAGCACGCGCCCCGGGCAGGGATGGTGCGCGCCTGAGATTCCTGGAGGGGATCGCTGTAGTCCATAGGGGATCATATAGGGGATCGCTGTGGCCGCAGCCACGTGCCACCGCCACGCGCTCCGTATGGGCGCACGCGTGCGTCTATATATACAGGCGCGTGTGTGTGCGTGTGGATGTCTGTGTGTGTGTGTGGGGAGCGGTAGTGTAGCGGTTAGCGCGCTGCGCTACGAACCTGGCGACCCGGGTTCGATTCCCGCTCACGGCCACAACCAGTGACCATTATCTGAAACGGTCCTGGGCCGCACCTAGGTCGACTCAGCCTCAAATGAGTACCTGGTGTGGTGTGTATTAAACATCACCACTGGGGAGACAAAGACGGCCGGACGTGGTGGTGGTCACCCACCGCTTTGTGTGCCACAGTGCCGGCACCTTCATAGGTGACAAAAGTCTGTTGAGGCTATATGTGGGATATGTCTTTGGTGTTGGTAGGAATGGGTGTCTGGCTGCTGGCTGACTGCGTGGCTGGCTGCGTGGGTGGCTGTGCGTGCATGGGAATTAGATTACCATTCTCTGACAATGTAATTCCATTCGTTTGTCTTTTACTTTAGACGGCGGCATGAGTCACAAACTGTAACCCAGTTCATTTACCCCCCCCCCCACCCCCGTGCGAGGCATCGCGTGCCTCCTGCCAACACGGAGCCGGGCTCCTAGCTGCGTAAACACTGAAAAGCTTAATGAAAAATGGATACATCTATAGTTAGTAGTTGTTTTAGAGGTGAATCCCTGAGTTGTGAAATGATGACATTTCTGCAGCCTGTGATCATCGTTCAACATCATCACACCAAAATCATCATCACCACACCAACATCATCATCACACCAACATCTTCAAATGTATAAGAGACAAATACTCTAAACGCGTGTTTCTAAATGGGGAAACCCAGAGGACCTGGAGAAAAATCCACGTGACCACGGGGAGAGAGACACGCATCCTCCAAATATACAGCGGCAGGCGTCAGGCTCGGGATTGAACTCACGGCAAGTGTGTGCTGGCCGGCGTGGAGCAGTCACTCCTCTGTGGGGTCCATCCCCATCACTTAAGATTACAAACACAAGAGTCGGGAACTGTTCTGCGAATTTATTTTGTGACCCCCCCTACACCCATCTCACGTCGTGTAGTCCGTGCGAATTGTTAGACTTGTTGTGCACCAGCGAAACAAAGGAAATAACTGGCGGAGGGGAGCTCTGTCAGTCGATCCGTCAGCGGGCGGGCCCCCCCGGTTTATTTTTAACCGACATTGTTGAGCGAAATCCTCTTGAGCACGTGGCCCCGGCGGGGGAGGGGGGCGGGTGGGCTGGCGGTGGTCGCGTGTGTCGTGCAGCATTGTAGCCATCGTGCACCCCTGACCCCGCTGCTAAGATTAAACAAAGTGTATTTAATGTCAAGACACCACCGGGCCATGTTGCCGTGGCTAAATATAACCCGCGGCGGTGGCGATGGTGGCAGTGGTGGCAGCAGCAGCGGTGATGGCGTTGCTGATGTATTTCCACTTTGCACTCTGGAGCCTGCACAATTGAGAGAGCATGGGTTCAAGCCCTGGGGCCTGGTGGGTCTCCCAGTCGGTGTTTAATGGCCATGGGAGAGCTGCTCGTCTTACAGCACCGAGATAGCAGGTTCGAGCGCTGACATCCTACTGGCTGCGTCCGACTCACGTGTGACCTCTGAGATCATGGCTTTAAAGCCGCAGGTTTAGGCGTCTCTCTCACTGAACGCTCACAACGACCATGTCCAGCCAAGGAGACAGCGCCACTGAGACCCCCTGCACTCAAGTAACGGTCTCAGTCGGCGACTCGTGGTGAAGGCCACTCCGCGCGACGGGCTGCCTTCCTCGCCGACGCTTCGCTGACCGAGGTCGAGATGAGCGCAGACCGCACACGGGACGGGGCGTGGTCGCGGCGTGGAGACGTTCCCCCGCCACGCGCTCTGACAGCCCCCCCCCCCCCCCCCCCCCACTGTGGAGCGAGAGATCTTTACGACTCCACTGGGAGAGCGGCGAGCAGAATGAACCCCTCGATACCGAGTGAGATTAGGAACGAGATTCTACGGTCATCTCATTCGCACCGTTTTTGCCCGCCGAGAGATTTGCACGTTGACTGAAGGTTATTCACCGCTCACTATCTCCCGGTGGAGATATAAAACTCTCGTCGCACAGTGGAGGGGACTGTCACAGCAGCACAACAAGGAAACTCCACGGTGCAAGTTGCGTCCGATGGCTCGAGCGCCGTTTGGGAAGAGTCCGGTAGCAGCTTTGACCGTGGCGCGATGGGCGAGGCGTCGTGCCGGCATCGCCTCGGCAGTTTCGACGGGCGCCACGGTGGCGAGATGTTAACGACCTCACCTGGTATGCAGGAGGTCATGGGTTCGATCCCGACCCTGACGCCTGCTGTATATATGGCGTTGGCGTGTCTATCTCCCAGTTGTCGTGTGGATATTCCTCCGGGGCGTGCGTTTTTTTTCCCTCCAGTATTTGTCTGCTATACATTTCCACGTGATTTTCCACTTCGTTGAGCTATCATTTGTGGCCAGATCGCTTCTGAAAAGGACCTATATAGCTCAGTGGGCCTTACCTTGTAAAATAAAGATAGTTTAGTTGAGTTTTCTTGTCGCCAATAGCTGCTCGCAACTGAGCAGCGGTGCCCTGTGCCACGAATTCCAGATCGCCTCGTAACTGACTCGTGGCGGACTCGTAAGGGACTCGCCTCATTGTCGTCGTTGTTGTCGCTGCAGGAGCCGAGTGCAAGGAGGGCTGCGATCTGCGCCAGGGCTACTGCGAGGTTGACGGAGAGTGCAGGTGAGGTCGCTGTCCCTCGCTCGCCTTTCCCCTTGCGTCCCGCGTCCGGTAAGCGGCCTGGGCCGCCGTGGTTGAGCTCTGCGCCGTTGGCCACGCTGACCCCGCTGACCCCGCTGACCCCACTGACCCGCGGTCAAATCATTCTCACAGCAAGGGGAGTGCCCTCGTCCGGCAGCGGAATTGACAAGCGGTCTGCGCACGAACATTACCTGCAGACCGAGGACATGCAGCACTGCGGTCGAGTGGATGGTGATGCCAGCACCAGAGTCGCCCTTCCACCTTTGTATCCCCGATAGTTACAGTGGCACCTGCTGCCGATTTTTGGCCGTGACGACCGCAGGAGACATAGGTGCCAAATTCAGAGAGCACCGGTGATGGATGTGCACATGGCCAGATGTCGAACCCGTGATGTATAGGATCCTAATGCGGTGTGCAAAGAATGGACATCTCCACTCTCGAGCACACGCTCCGTGTCAACAAGACAAAGATCCCCCCCCACCCCGTATAGCTTCAGCAGACTGTAGGGGCAAGTGCTGTTAGCGAGCACCTTTGAGGTCGGCATGACACACGAAGGGGTGGGTGGCCAGCACCACGCCCGGACGTATTTGTCTCCCCTAGTGGCGATGTTTACACATCGCACCAGGTACTCATTTGATCCTGAGTCGACCTAGGGGAGGCCCATTACCGGTTCAGATAATTGTCACTGGTGTTGGCTGTGAGCGGGAATTGAACTCGGGTGGCAGGCTTTGTAGTGCAGCGTGCTAACCGCTACGCCCAAGTAAACGCACGCACGCACACACACACGGGTACACGTCGTGTGCGCTATGTTTAGCGATCACACTTCTCGTGCAAAGCCCCTGGTGGATGTGGCGTGTCTGCTGAGTGCTGGGTGCTGGCAGGTGTACGCGTGGTCTGAACAAAGGGGTGTGCCGTGCCAGCCTTAATAGGCGCTCGCTAACACCTCTTTGCCCCAGCAATCCAGAGCGCTGAGAAGAAGATCTCAGCGCTCTGGACTGTGTGCCTCTATTCAAACGAGTGTTGCGAGATATTTGTATGGTGGGGATGAGTTAGTTCATGGGGCAGCTATTGACGTCTCAAGTAATGCAGCCTCATTATGGTGGTCGTCATTTTACTGACCATGGTGGCATGATGATGATGGTGGTGATTATGATGCCGATGATGGTGGTGATGAGGATGAATTGGCTGGAATTATTTTATATTCAAACTTAATTCAATATAACATCTGGAAAAGCCTCACCGAGTCTCAGGATTCTCGAATCCCAAAACAAAGACGTTGACCCAGTCACGTGATGATCGCGAGCGCCACGAAGCAGGACATGCCCGGCATCAGATATTCCAGATTTTCCCAAACTGGCTTCAACTCCTGCTCACGTCGTGCCCCCCTCCCTTCCGCCCTCCCATGCCGCGGGCTGCAGGTGCCAACCCGGGTGGCAGGGCGAGCTGTGCGGGAACTGCACGCGATTCCCCGGCTGCCAGCGCGGCTCCTGCCACATGCCCTGGCAGTGCGACTGCGAGGACGGGTGGACGGGCCGGCTGTGCGACCGCGGTGAGTGGCCCATGGATGAACGCGCACACGCGCTCACTACGCGCTCACTACGCACACACGCACACGTGAACACCGACAGCCGCCGTTTGCGCCACTAAAAGGTGGCGACGTCACCGCAGCCCTTGTGCCAGGCTAGGTGCACTTTGAGGCAGTCGCGTGAAGTGTCAAAGGCCCGCTGGCGGGAGGTCACGGGAGAGACCCAAGCGCCATGGGTTGACCGAGATAACTGGCAGATGCGCCACCTGCGCTCCCCACTGTGCAACCTCACTGCCTTTTATCCCACTGGCGCTCTGCTGGTTGTTGTGAGCGTCGCTGCCCTGCCTGCCACTATTGTTGGAGGGCGACTGCTTCCAAATTCCCAGTAGCGTCCTTCACGAGCCTCCCCCACAGAGGCAGATCTTAACTCTGCTGGTATTAGTTTGTTTGCAAGCCCAATCAGCTCCAGATCTTCATGAACCGTATCAGCTCCATCTCTTTCCCAGCCCGTGCCGCACCCATTTAGCCCCCTCTATCCGGCCAAACAGAAGCCGCTTGGGAATGCGATGGCGAGGCATGCGGGCTACATGACTCAGCCAGCACAGCCTCGCCTGCCAGATGAGCTCACTGATGGAACTATGTCCAGAATTGTTTAGGGATCTGCGAGCTCCTCGAACAATCCAGTCTGTTTAAACCCATGCACACGAATGCGCGCTAATTATGTACATACATAAACACAAACAAGACAAAACACCCCCCGCATAGCCTTAGCATACTTTTAGGGCAATTGTTGCAAGTGAGCACCTATGAAAATCCATAAAGGCACACTAGGGGCAGGTGGCTAACACTACGCCCGGCCACCTTTGCCTCCCTAGTGGTGATGTTTACACGCCACACCAGGTACTCATTTGAGGCTGAGTCGACCTTGGGGAGGCCCAAGGCCGTGAGCAGGAGTGGAAATCGGGTTGCCGGGTTCGTAGCGCAAGGCGCTAACCGCTGCACTACTGCTCTCCACACATATACTGTCCATACTTGTATGCACACACGTGCACATATAAAACTACATGAACTTACACACACGCGACCTACATTAGAATAGATTTCTAAACATTCCGCTGACATTCGTGAGGATGTTCATGTAAAAATGAGGCCGGATGTCGCCGTGGTGAGGACGTTCAACTCACGGGGGTTGAAAGTTTCAAAACCTCTTTGCGATCGACTCGGCCCACCCGTCCCTCTGGTCTTCCTCTGGGGGAGACCGTCCATTGGCCATGGTAACGTGTAATTTCGGTCACGCCTGCCGCTCATGCCACCAATGGAGGCGACCTCCACCGCCATTTGAGCGAGGGAGACAACAACGCTGACCTTTGACTTTTCGTGTTTTGACCCCTTTCCCGTGGGCCTCTTTGCGTTCACTTGCCACAGATCTGAACTTCTGCGAGCACAATCGGCCATGCCACAACAACGGCTCGTGCTCCGACGACGGCAGCGGCGGCTTCGCGTGCGTGTGCGCCGACGGCTTCACGGGCAGCCGGTGCGAGGAGCGCGCTGGGCCCTGTCACCAGCAGGGGTGAGTGCCCCCCTCCCCCCACCTCCCCCCTTGTCCCACATTCTAGCCCGAGGGGTCGGCAACTTGCTGCTTTGGTGCCGCGTACTGCTCTTTGGCTGCCCCCCTTCACGGGCAGAGTTTTTTTTTTACATAAAATCACTTGAATCTTAAACGTAACTGAACACAAAGATAATAAGTGACTTAGAACATAATGGGGTCACTTTCGGATTGTCTTGGTGACTCTATTGTTAAAGAATAACTAAGGGAGGAAACAGCTAAATTCCATCACCTACTTGGTTTATTTGAGCCAGAATGTGCGTTTGGCATCTGCTGTGTACCTGCTGCTGTGTCTGTGTACAAGTGGCTCTGCGTGTGATGCGTCTCTCTGACTATTTTGGTCAAAGACAAAAAAAAATGTAAATGGCTCTTCTCCTTCTTCTTCTTGGAAACGTTTCCGACCTCTGTTCTAGCCTCTAAGCCTTTTTTCCCGTTTGTTGTTTTGTCTCGATTATATATCTATTTACTTTTGGCTTCATTGTTGCAATTTGTAATTTTGGTGGCCCAGGTAAAATTTTGCAAATGAGGATCATCATTGTCTACTTGAGTTCTCTGCCGGGTCAAACAAAATTAACTTGAGACTTGAACTCCACTCGTACCAAATAAAAAATGGGTAAATGTTATCGGTGTTTATATATACCCCAACACTGCAACAGATTGAGCATAAACCAATGTATATGGGGGTATAATATTATAGCACTCAAAGCTCCGCACAAATTCAATCTGCAGACAGACCGAGTTAGTTAATTGTGTATGTTCACAGTGTCGACCGCCAATTAATTCTGCCTTTAACCTTGGGTCCCTGTGTCTCTGTCATGCCCAGGTACCCGTGCAAGAATGGCGGCGCATGCATGGATGAGGCGGGCTCAGCCCACGTCCTCGTGTGCCTGTGCCCACGCGGCTTCTCGGGGCCGCTGTGCGAGGTTCCGCCCGACCCGTGCGCGAACCGTCAGCAGCGCGGGCCGCCCTCTCCGTGTGCTGAGGGCTCCACATGCGTGCCGCGCGGGCCCTTGCACTTCCTCTGCGTCTGTCCCCCGGGCCAGGCAGGCAGGCGCTGCGAGCTTGCCGCCGCCTCCTCATCGTCATCATCGTCATCCTCCACCGCCGTACACCCCTCCGCCTTTGCTGCCAGAGCCGCAGCCAGTCTGATCGGTTCCACCGTGCCGGGCCCGGCAATGCCTCCTGAACGTTCATTCGCGGAGCCAACAGATGCCGGAGAAGATCTGACCAAAACCGGAGAGGGGAACTCTGAAGCGGCTCAGGCAAGGCCGCAGCCAAACCTTCAGCTCAAGATAACTGTCGTGGAGACGGAGCAGAGGCGGGAGGGTGGCGATGGCCTCCTGCTGAGCGACAGCGGCTGGCTGAGTGCCTTGCTCGCTGTGCTGGCCTTCGTCGGCCTGGTGCTGGCGTGCACCCTGGCGGCGCTGCTCCACCGCGAGGGCCTGTGGAGTGCAGTGGCACGGCATGGCCCTCGGAGAGGTGTCGAGGAGAGCGGCGGCTTGGATGATGTCGAGGCCACGGCTGGGTCGCACTCCAACCTCATTGGACCCGGCCGGCTGAAGCCTCCCTCTGTGAAGGCGGTGGACAACATCACGACCCTGCTCGAGCCTGGCCAGCTTAACAAGGCCCACAAGGACACCAACCTCCGGCAGAGCCTCGCCTGTGCAAAGTCTCTCCAGGGTTGAGCCCCTGTCCGTCGCGAGCTGCCACTCTTTGCTGGGCCCAAACTGGGGGTTGCGACACCCCCGTGTGACTCTGTTGAACCGTTCCGATGCCGAGGCGGCCGTTTGTGTCGTCTTCCACGAGCTGCACAGCACCTTATGACCCCTTCCCTTTTCGCCACCCTCTCAGGCCTCGTATCTCACCCGAGTAAAGCTCCCCCTTCGTAGGTAAGGATCTAGGCAAGGTTGTTGTAGAGATAAGTGATTGCTCAGATATGTTTTTAAATGACATTTTTATATTATCGTTTAAAAGTAAAACTGATGTTGTTGTTGTTGCTGTTTGGAGTTGAACTTTAAAAAAGGCACAAGATATCTTAGTGTGTTTAATTGTGAAAGACATAGACCGACATCAAAGTCCCACCTCTAGACTTCTTTTAGTCACACGGACGGCTCTCTGTCTCTCTGTTGCTCGCGTGACCGTGAGGATGGCCTGATCACAGGAGGCACAGCACTAGGCTCATGCGAACGTGTGTGTTGTCGTCCTGTAACCGGTCCTAGACAATGAAACGTGCTCCACGTGAACAACATGACTCTACTAACATCTGGAGCACAGGCACGGATTTGTATTTATTCCAAATTGTCACCGATAGTTTATATGACACCCAATTCAAACAGATGGACTAGGAACAGGGGTGCAACTATGGGGGGGGGGGGGGGAGGTGGCAGTGTTACGCGATGCAAAGGAGCCCAGTCGGCCACAAGGGGGTCCCGAATCAACAGGTAAACAAATTCAAACAATATTAAGAAAGATTATTTTATCAAAAAAATTAATAAAGCAGCATCGAGTTGTGCAATCCACCTCCTTTCAGGACATCCTAGACCAATGGACCGGCATGCAAGCAAGACGCAGGATAACTTAATTGTGAGTAGTGTTGCGCCTTTAAATATTGTTATTAATATTGTCACTGTGAGACTGTCTTCTTCTACACCCAATACACGGTGCAACTAAAATAATATGAGAATATATACATAGTTATAGCCTACATATTGTATACCGGTTAAAACATCCGTAGCTATTTTAGTAAAAGTGAGTCAGGAGAAAGGAGGGGGGCCCACAGTCGGATCTTGCATAGCCCCCCCCCCCCACCCAGTTGAAATAGGGAGCTGCGCCCATGACTAGCAAGTGCTGATATAACCTGTAAATGCAGTTACCCAATCTGATATTGAACCCTTGGCCCTATTAGGTGTTGCCTTAGTTTGGCTCATAAAGCGTTGGACAATTCCGTTTCATGTTTGTGGAATGCTCAAGTCTTCGTCTATGCGCAAGCTTTGATTCATATTGTAAGGCGTGAACGTTCACTCAGTTGGTCTTAGCACCAGAATGACCAATCAAGGGCCTTCGTATTTGCACCATTGTGTAATTGTCCAACGTCGAGTGATCTCGGACATTTCTACAATAAGAACGTAAGATATAACTCCGATTCCATGAGAGCGTTGCGAGAATTAAGAATCACAAAGTGAGGAGGGAACTTGGGAGTGATCAAAGTGAAAACAGTCAACCGATAAATAATAACATAACAAGGAAAGTATTACTATGAATAACATGAATAATACTATCAATAACATTCATAACATATGCAATCAACATTAATCGCATAAGCAAACCGACTGGAATGAGGTGCGTGGAGCGATGACATCATACCAGCCATGTTACGTGCGGATTTTCTTCCTCGCAGCTGATTGGCTTGTGAAGTGGCAGTGGGTGCCTAGCAACCGCTGCCACACCCACAGCATTGTGATCTCACGTGCACGCGCCCGGATTTCCTTTGAACGTCGTTCTGTTTTCTCTTGCGGGCGTATCGGATCGTACTACAACCGTAGACGAACCAGACTTAAGGGAAATTTACACGCATAATTCTGTACTCAGGCCCCAGGGTGCTACGTTTCAAAACCCTTCTGTGCCCCTTAGTTGTTAGGATGGTCAAACACCCTGTCAGGGCCTTATCAGGCTCTCGCCTGATGAGGCTGGTTCTTATTACTGGCAAAAGTCGTACTCAAATTGTAAATGTTGTGGGCTTACTCTCCAACACGTCGGTGTGTTGAACTATTAACGAATTGGCACGTTTTTTAGTGACAAACCTTACTAATTGGTTGTGTCGGGTGGTGGCGGGTTTAACGACACATTTATACTTACGCGATCTAACCCAAGAACCTATATTATGCAAAGGCATTCATTCAGTAGTGGATTGACAAAGGGCGACATGTTATTGTTTTTATTTCATGTCATGTGAATGTTCGATTAATTATTCATTAGAATTTAGCTGTATGTGAATGCGAAATCAGTCATTGATTGCACTTATACGCTTGTGCTGTACGCACAAAGGACGTCTCAAGTGGGAGGCAGCACAGCGAGTAGGTCTCTCCATTAACATCTGCAGCATCAGCAGCATGTTGAGTGGTCTCTAAACTGCGTGCGTGGTTTTCTCTGGGCACCCACGGTTTCCACCCACGGCAACATGAAACATCTGCCGAGCGGGACCCTCCAGAGAATCAGCCTCGAGGAGACTTGAGACGAGGCTTTAACTGGGGAGGGGGAGAAGACGTCAACGCTATTTTACTATTTACGGACAGCGCGTGCACAACACAAACATTCACGGATGTGTTCACGTCAAACCGATTCGTCACTCACCGTGCGAAGGTGGAGCACACTGCTCGGACGTTGTCCGTTCGCAATCTGCGTAACTCGCCGTACCCCGACCCACCAAAGCCCTCACCTCCCCCCTTGTCCATGGGCCACAGCCGACATCGGTATCACCGAAGGATGGCACAACCCTCGTAGTACTGATTCATTGACATGGCCAATACGAGTGAATAACTTTGATAAGCACACTTATCACGTAGCTCACCGCGTTATTGGCCACGTACATAATTTGGAACCATCAAAGTTCCAACAAGTGAAATATCTATCTACTCCGGGCTCATGGACTGCCCCCGACTTCCCTTTGGCTCTTTAAAATTTGCACTGTGCTTTATATTTTTAATATATATAAACTATATGCTGTAAATGATTTTGTAATATTGAAATTATATCGATTAATAAAGATGATGGTGATGACGATGATGATGTGCCTACCTCCGAGTTGTGCGATACGCTGTAGGAATGTAGACCGTGTCTGTGACGATCGGGACGAATGTTCATCGAAGAGGTTTTGGGAAGGGACAATGAAACTGAGTGGTTGAGGCATAAAACAGAAACAGTTTGAGAACGCGTGCAGATAGCTAAAGTTTATTTGGTTAAGGAAATTGTTTCGTTAATCAGTGGTAATTAATTGTTAATGTTAATAGAAACGGTGGAGTGATATTAACTGCCTTGCCTGGTATACAGGAGGTCGTGGGTTTGATCCCGACCCTGACACCTGGAGTTTGCATTTTTCTCCGGGTCCTCCAGTTTTTCCCTCCACATTTAGAAACATGCGTTTAGAGTATTTGGCTGCTATAAATTTCCACATAAGCCACTTCGTTGAGCTATCAATTGTGGCCAGGTCGCTTCTGAAAATAGCAATATAGCTCAGTGGGCCTTACCTGGTCAAATAAAAATATATATTTTATACCTACGTGACTTTACCGAAAGAACCAAAGAGTATAAAATAAAAAATTGTTAAGTTTTAGTAATCACAGGAACTTCTGTAGAGCTGTAACATGGCAAGCCATTATAGATGGGCGCTGAATGAATAACAGCCGTTTGTCCAGTACAGTGATCAGGAGACGCCGTGTCACTTGTGGCTATCGACAGGGGTGAGGAGTTCTGAGTGAAATCCTGAATGCCAGGCGGCGACTATTCGCAGCCACGCCGGAAGATTGTGCTTCAAGCCGCCAACTGGTAAATACATCGGTTGACAACCGTGCGAAAAGTGGTCTCCAAACCCATCTACAACGTGGCAGAAAAAAATAGAATTTCCACCACACTCCATCAAAAGTCTCTCCATAGTACAGTGCGAGAGAAGTTCAACATACATAGTAAATGAATATGATTCATCGCTCTTGCGTTTCATGGTAAAAATTCAGTTGATACCTGTTTCGTGTGTTACCTGAATTAATGAACCCAGATTGTCCCTCGTGGATTCTTCGCATTGGGGTCGTGCCCTTTACAAGGTGCAACGCCAGCCAGTCGTGGCCACGTGTTCCAGAGTGCGAGTTCGATCGTGAGCACGGAGGTATCCACCGCCACGCAAGGTTTGTGGATTAGGGAGATAAGTTTCAAATTTTGGACTTGATTTTTTTTTACTAAGGTGAGAATACAAGACACGCAAAGAGAGAGTCGCATGATTGATGTTATATTTAGTCAAGAAAAGTTTTAAAGCCACCAGTTTATTGGTCAAAATTAGCTAAATACATTGCTACATATAAAACATTATCTCTGTAAACGTGACAATCTTGTCGGGTGGTGGAGAGGACGTGACAAGAATTTTGTCATAAAACTATCACGTGGTCCAACCCCAAAAACACAACATGGATCAAGGACAGCGTAATTTCCATTAGTGACGAAAGGTCGCTAAAATGACAAAAGCAATGACAAGAGACCGTTTAACACCTCGTAGTCGGGCTTTCGCGACCGATGTCATCCATAAGAGGTTTTTTGGGTTAGATCGCGTAAATGTAAATGAATATAAATATATTCATAGTTACGATTACGTGTGAATAACCCAACTAATAATAGAGATCCATTGTGCTTTATAGGACTACATAACCCCCCTCTAAGACAGAAACAGGAGGAATTCTCACAATTCTGTCTGTCGCCTGATAATGCTGCTGGTTGTTGATGTTGTAATTAGCGAAACGTCACGGTACTCGAATTGTAAATGTTGTTGTGGGTTTACTCTCCAACACACAACCGGTGTGCTGAACTAGTAACGAATTGGCACTTCATAATCAACGTTTTTGGGTTTAGATCGCGTTACTTATAAATGTGTCGTAACCCTCCACCACCCGACACGGCCAATCAGCAAAAAAGTGTCACGTTGACAAAAGACAAATAGTTCACTGCTTTAGCCCACCGGTGTGTTGAAGCGTGAAACCACAACATTTACAATTTTTGAGTACGACGTTTCGCTGGTAATTGCATCCAGCATCATCGGGCAATTCGCCAGAATGGTGAGGCTCTGCTCTTGCTTCCGGTCTTAAATAGAGCAGCAGCAGGGTGACGTTTTTGTTTACGTGACAAATCTTACCAATTGGCTGTGTCGGGTGGTGGCGGGTTTAACGACACATTTATATTGACACGATCTAATCTCCCCAAAAAAACTATATTCTGGATAAGACAAGAGACCTGTAACTTGGATTTAGGATTGATTCCTTTAGGCACAGAGGAATCAAAGGTCGATCCCTTTCCTATCGATTCTGAAAAAGAGCATCACGTTGTGACAATGCATCCATGTGTAATAAACGACTTCGACGACATGTTGAGACTTGCGTCCTTTCTTTATTAGTTATGACTACTCGGCTCCACATATTCTTTAGATGGTCACCCTCTCTCTCTCTCTCTTGCCGCATGCACGCGCTCTCTGCTCCTCCATTCCCGCGCGGCTTCCCTCGCTCTCGCTTCCCCGCGCACCGCTGGTCGATGGCGCGCCGGGAACCGGGAGAGCTTCACTCGCGGCTGCCACGTGGTCGGTGGCTGATGAGATGGCAGAGATGCAGTCCAGACCCAGGCTTCCACACCGAACCCCGAGTCCTCCTCCTGCCTCTCCTTATATCCTCCTTGGTGGAGCGAAGTCCCGCCTCTAACCACGCCCCCTTCAGAACCTTCTCGATGGTTCCCGCATGTACCCCTGAGCTCCGCCCATAAACTTTGGCCTAGATCGAACCCGTGGCCCTAATTGGCTATGACCGATGCGGCAATGCCTATGCAGCCCTCCGTATGTCGGTGTGCTCTTTCATTACATATGCACTGGTTCACCTACTTTCCATGCATTTTTTAATTCTTAAGGCATCGTTGCGTCAAGTAGCATAGCATCGATTTGTCACTGAATAATTAATCTTAAAACTCACGATACATGCTTCAAATAGCGTGCGCAATAACCGAGCGTTTACGATTTATGCGACTTGTACGCTAATAGAACATTTTACTTGTATGCTAATAGTACATTTAACTTGTATTCTAATAGCGCATTTACCGTGTATGCTAATAGTGGATTTAACTTGTATGCTAATCGTGCATTTAACTTGTATGCTAATAATACATTTTACTTGTATGCTAATAGTACGTTAATTTGTATGTTAATAACACATTTAATTTGTAAGCTAATAGTACAGTAAGCTATATGCTAATAGTACATTAACGTGTATGCTAATAGCACATTTAACTTGTATGCTAATAGTACATTCACCTGTATGCTAATAGCACATTTAACTTGTATGCTAATAGTACATTCACCTGTATGATAATAGGACATTAACCTGTATGCTAATAGAACACCCTAGCCCAAGCTCCCTCCACGTGCGTGCCCCGCCACCTGGTCCTCCCAACCCAACGCACGTCCACTCAGCACGCGGCAGACCACACGTGTACACTTCCCTGGCACCGCTCCTCTCTGGAGCCCCCTCTCCCATCCGTCTGTTCTAAAAAAGAGAAACTCGCTCAATACAAGAAACGTGGCCCCGTGACACCCCTTTCGTCATGCGGCACACTTTTGCAGAGGATTTCAATTATTTAAACGTTTCCCGGAATGACCGGGCAATCTTAATGCCGGAACGGCAGAGGCTGCCGCGAGCTGTGGCTTCGGGAAATTGACCGTGGCCACGCCGCGGCTCGTGCCCCCAGCCTTGCTACTCGCACAGCAGGGCTGGGGCCGTCTCGTGTCCGAGTCCCCCCGTGCACACCCACCCAGGGTCTGCCGCACCAGCTGCCCGCTCGGCCATGTCGACGTCAACGTTTTTGAGATCGTGCTTGAACACATACACCCACACCCATGCACGTCCTTGAATCAGAGAAGTAGGGAACTTCTCCCCTAGCCCATCCTACCGCTGCTACTCTTTCCTACCACCCCCCAGCTACGACCAGGCCTACTCCAACCCCTATGACTACCCATAAGCCCTATCACGACCCCAACACCTATCACCACCCATACCCCTATCACTACCCCTATCAGCACCCATAGACCCCTACCCCTATCACCACCCAGAACCCCAATCACTACCCCAACCCATATCACTACCCCAACCCCTATGACTACCCCAATCCCTATCACCACCCATACGCCTATCACTACCCCTATGGCTACTCGTACCCCTCTCCACTACCCCAACCCGTATCACTAACTCTACTCCAACCCCTCTTGAACCACTCCCGCCTGTTCCCCTGTCACCATAATTACACGACTTTTAATAGCAACTCCACTCTTTATCTCAACCACTATCATTTTATGTACAATATTATAATTGTCATTAAGCGCCTTAGAATAAGGCACTATAAGATATATTACAGCTATGACATTGCTTTTTGTCGCTGTCCGCTTGACGTGTTTGGGCCCTGTGCTCATAAACTATTATAGAGCTGTTTCACACATAGTAGGCTTTCGCGACCAATATTATCCATAATAAAGGGGTTTTTTTCTTTGGGTTAAATTACGTAAATTAAATGTCATTAAACCCACCGCCACCCGACACAGCCAGTTGGGTGGTGGCGGGTTTAACGACGCATTTATATTCACGTGATCTAACTCAACAAACCTCTATTATGGATGTTATATAGGTCCTCCGCCTTAGCCCAGCACCCGATAGACGGGCGCTGAAGGGCAGATATATACGAGTGACCTGTGGGGTTCGGTGATACGAGCATCGCATTTGGCCGTATGAAAGGAGGCCACTGAGTCCAAAAGGGCCTCGTAGATTTTTTTGTTTTACGCCATTGGACAGAAATGGCAGCCATTTTCCAAGATGGCCACGATCCGTTTGAACATTGCTTGGTGGACTGCATCCACTTGCAGTTGAGTATAAAACTTCCCACAGGTTGGATTGTTTCCATCGTATTTGCATTTAAAATTATTGGACGAGTATACGAGATAATATAATTGATATGGTTCATATCGTAAGGTTTAAACGTAATTAATATAATTTATTAAACAATGGCACAATATGCATACGAAATTAAGTGGCGTATCCAACGATTACAGTTGTATATATTCATTCATCACGCATAGTCAGCGAAGGAAAGTTGCGCCAAACGTGTGACCTCTTGCGACAGCATTCGCATAAACTGCTCTTGCTGCCATAGCAGTATCTCCGGTAATTTGTTTGATCCACGGATAATGGGGGAAACCCACGGGGGCCGCCCCCCGCGATACAGCTGTATAGCGTGCGATTAAGTGCCCAGTGTTTCTGCGACAACAGGCATGTTGGGTAGAGAGAACGTTTTCCACTGCAATGACAAAGAACAGTGCCTTACGGCACGAGTTGCCGCCTGGCTTTCATAGCCCCTGGAAGGGTCGTCCATAAATATTTACCAGCCACATTTGTCTTTCTTGTTCCACCCCCACTCACTTGGGAGGTGGAAGCTCAGGGGCTGCGATCAGCATCATCTAGCATCGGCAGTGCCGCTATGGCCTGGTTGACAACACTCGAGGCTGCTGATACGGTCATTATAGTAAGACCACAAAAAGCACTCCACCGGTTTCAGTTGACTCTGGCACTCCATGCGTCCGATGCAGTCTTTGTTCCTCTTCCTCCAAAGGGATGACGCCGTGTCACACACTCGCGATGGCGAGAAGTTAACTACCTCGTCTGTTATGCAGGAGTTTATGGGTTCAATCCAGTCTCTGAAGCCTATATATTTTGAGTTTGTATGTTCGCCCTGTGGTCGCGTGGATTTTTCTCCGGGTTCTCCGGTTTTGCTCTCTGCATTTAGAATCAACATCACGCGTTCAGAGTATTTGGCTGCTATACATTTCCACGTGATAAGCCACTTCGCTGAGCTATTATTTGTGGTCAGGTCGCTTTTGAAAAGGAGCTACATAGCTCAGTGGGTCTTACCTGGTAAAATACAAAATCGTTTAGTTGAAATATTTTTAGATTTAAAACATTGCCATTGAGCAAGAAATATTCCTCTCGTATTGCTCTCACATTGATCAAGTTCCAACCGGAGGATAATTTACCACAACTGAAACAGGGTACTTTGATAAAGCTCTGTCAGTACAAGCAGTCTTCCAGGGCCATCAGATGCCGGGCTGCAGCTGTACTGGGCAAAAACTTTCTGCGAGAAAAGATACAGCGCACTCGCTGCAATCTGGTGAGTGCATCGAGTGTCACACGGGAAGCTCTCTGAGGAGTGTGCTGTTCCGGATGTGGCAATGCTAGCACTGGTCCACGCGCACTGCCCTCCGAAAGGTTTCCAAGTGCCTTGAGAGCTGCCATCTCAGTTTGAAGCATGTCGAACATGACAAAGAAAACACGTGTTCTTGACCGTGGCTTGCTGGTCAGTTCCGCTTTGAATTGCTTGCGGAAATGTGTCACAAGTGTGTCATAAGGGGCTGATCCACGTTGGAGGAGGGCACCTGTCCAGGGTTCATGAGTCTCCACTGCGTTCTTCACTACATCCAGGTGATGGCGAATCGTGGCCACAGACTTGACAAGGGTCATAGAAGAGAGGGAGCAGAGAAGTGAGCGCCAACATTTGTCCGGTGCTGCATTCACTGGTCACCCACTGCCACAATGTGCAGCCCAGGAGGCTGTCTCATCCTCCTGGAGTATTTATTTCAGCAGCCACCACCTGCCGTCACATGGTCCAGCCATCTGCGCCGCGATAGCGAGACGTTAACTACCTCACCTGGTATACAGGAGGTCGTGAGTTCGATCACGACCCTGATGTCTGTTGTCTATTTGAGATTTGCGTCTCTCTCCCCGTCGTCGCGTGGATTTTTTCTCCGTCCACATTTAGAATCAACATGCATTTAAGAGTATGTGTCTGTGATGGATTTCCACATGATAAGCCACTTCGTTGAGCTATCATTTGTGGCCAGGTCGTTTCTGAAAAAGAGCTGCATAGCTCAGTGGGGGCCTTACCTGGAGAAATAAAAAAAAAATAGTAACAGGAGTAGTATTCCTTCTGCATGGCCTGAAGGATGAGTTGACAGTCTGCTTTGTTCAAACCTTATAGCTTTGGCACAGGTGTATCTTTTATACACATCAGGAAAGGCAGCAACTTGGTTGTGTGGTCACCAACGGCGCTCACAGCCCATTGCACTCCTCGCTGGGATGCTGAAACAATGGATATTCCAGTTCTGTGGAAGGAGTCAAGGCCACATGTTGAACTGGGATCACAGTCTGTTGTTTTCAGCGCTGGCAATCTGCTGGCCCGGTGTTATGACTTGTTTAACCAGAACCTTGAGGGCAACGTTTAAATAGACGATGGCAATCTTTTAATATGGCTGCCATTTCCGCGATAGCCTTCAGAGCTGGATATCTTGAATTGGACGTTGTTCCCTAGCCACGTGCCAAACGTCGTGCCCGTATCACCAAATCGCAAACGTCGTGCCCGTATCACCGAAACCCCACACAATACCTCCCGCCAACATACCCCACACCCCTCCGCGCAACTACCAGGGCGGCGCACGGCGCAGCGTGCGCGCGCTCTCCTCGGCCTCGCGCGCCACGTGCTGGAAGGAGCGCGAGTTGACGGCATCGCGCACGCGCTCGCGCACGCGGCACGCGGCGCGCGCCAGGGACCGCGCGGCGTCGCGCGCCACGTCGCGCTCGCGCGCCGCGCGCAGCCCCGCGTTGCGGGATCGCGCCGCCGCCTCCTCGTGCCCGCGCCGCCGCTGCTCCTCCAGCTCGGCCAGGCGCAGCAGCGTCGACCTGGGGGGAGGGGTAGGGGGGAGACGGGGACGCATGCGACGACTCCATTGTAAGTACACTCAGTTCTCCTATAACGCACTACTTTAGTCCCTTGGTTGATAGTAGCATCGGTTAACGCTTTCTCGGTGAACGTTTCACTTCATAACGTGAACACGGTACCGTGTTCACGTCATGCACGCGGAGCGCCAATTTCGGCCAATCCGAGTACAGTACTCGTAAGTAGGCCTGACCAACACCTCAGCCAATCAGCGACGTCCATTGGTGAGTGTTTAGACCTCGACTAGCTTTTTGACGTTACGGTTTCTGTTATGGCAATGGATACAGCCTCTCTTTTTTTTACTTATTACACTATGTAACACAATTTTTGTTCCTGGGTAGTAAGTGATATTTCGTAATTGCTTACGCCTAAAAAGTATAGAAAATGGCTATTATTCCCCACAAACTTTGCTTTTGTGACCAGGACAGTGATATTTTGAAATTTCCATATTTTCAATGAGAAAACGGGCGAATTTGTGTCTTTTCGTTCACATAAAGTCAGAAAAAAAACATATGAATCAAAATGAACGTGCATATATACTAAAATAATGCAAAAATGACGACAAAAGATTTAGAAGTGAGTAGTTTTTCGAGATTTACAATTATACTGTAAATCACTTTCACGAATCAGCCCCCAAATGTAGTCATCATGTTCTCATTATACTGCCCTTGGTAGCGGCGTTCAAAGTCCCAGTATATCCTGGTGGAAGTGATCGCCTTGCTCCTCCAAGTACGCTCCCATGTACTCCTTGAATTTATCAAGATCAGCATCAAGGAAATGGACTTTGAGGGACATCCTACAGCCCATTTTGCCGTAGTTCTTCACCAGAGTCTCAACCAGCTCCACATAGTTTTCGACCTTGTGATTGCCCAGGAAGCCACGAACCACTGCGACAAAGCTGCTCCAAGCCGCTTTCTCCTTACTAGTGAGCTTCTTGGGAAATTCATTGCACTTCAGGATCTTCTTTATCTGTTGTCCAACGAAGACACCGGCTTTGACATTGGCCTCAGACAGCTTAGGGAATAAGTCTTGAAGGTACTTGAAGGCTGCCGACTCCTTACCTACAGCTCTGACAAATTGTTTCATAAGGCTCAATTTGATGTGCCGTGGTGGCATCAGCACCTTCCGGGGGTCCACCAGTGGCTCCCACTTGACGTTGTTCCTCCCCACAGAGAATTCGGTCCACTGTGGCCAGTCCCGCCTGTGGTAGTGCGCCTTGATGTCCCTCCTGTCCCGAAGGCAAAGATCGCAGGGAAACTTGGTAAAACCGCCTTGGAGACCCATTAGGAATGCCACCATTTCGAAGTCTCCGATGACCTCCCAGCCATACTCATCATACTTCAAGGTGTCCAGCAAGTTCCTGATGCTGCTGTAATCCTCTTTGAAGTGCACAGAGTGAGCCAAGGGAAAAGATGGGTACTTGTTACCATTATGGAGCAGCACGGCTTTGGGGCTCCTGGATGAGCTGTCAATGAAAAGGTGCCACTCATTCTGGTTACAGGCGATTCCGATTGCCTCGAACAGACTGGTCACATTGTGGCAGAAGCAGAGCCCATCTTGACGGGTGAAGAAGCTGCAAAAAGGTTTGTGATGCTTCCTCTGATCCGCGACTTGCACACTTTCATCCAACAAGTTCAGCTGCTTGAGCCTCGATGTCAAAAGCTCGGCATTGGACTTGGTGAGTCCAATATCTCTGATCAAGTCGTTTAGGTATTTTTGGTTGGGGTAGTATGGGTTTCTCTCCTCAGCTCCACCTCTGAAATTGTCATCTGGATCTACGTCTTCCATGCTCTCTGACCTGCTGCTCTCTCTCCGGAGGAGTGGGTACGGGGAGCTCATGGCAGTGTGGCACCGGGGTGATGGATGAAGGAAGGTCCGGATACGTGATAGCAGGTGCATTCTTGCCATTCTGACGTTTGGAAGGGTCGACCATGCAGAAGTAGCAGTTGCTTGAGTGGTCAGGGGGTTCCCGCCAAATTCTTGGGACAGCAAACTTCATGACTCTATTTTCCCCTCTGTACCATCCTACAAAAATAAATTTATTTCACCCATGACTAATGTGTAAGGGATTCTCGCAACATTTTTCATATATGAAATATATTTTTTAAATAACATTGAAAATTGTAAAAAAAAAAAATAATAATAAACTTTTACAATTTTAAATGTTTTAACAAATTTTATTACATAAAATTCCGAGCAACAATTGTCCATCTTACCTTCCAGGGTTGTTTTGCATTGCTCGCAGGTGACATGAGGTGCCCAGGGTTTGTTTTTATCCCCGACAGGCATGCCAAAATATGCCTTGTAGGCCTCACACATCTTAGCAGATGCTTCCAGAGTACTTTTTCGCTCTTGTCTTGATAAATTGGCCGCAGACATAGCAAAATACGTCTGCCTGATGCCTGGAGCCTCTTGATGCCATCTTAAAAAATGCAGATATGTATCCACTTAGGCAGCTGGAACTAAATTGAACTGGTGGCTTAAGGCCCCTGTATTTTATACTACTATTTATATTACTGGAAAGTTCTCGAATATTCTAGAAGTTACTCCAAGTTTACTCAGCAATGCATTATCTGGAATGTTCTGGAAAATAGGTAAATTAAAAAATATCAATGTCCTGGTCAGAAAAGCAAAGTTTGTCGGGAATAATAGTCATTTTATGCACGCTTGAGGCATAACCAATTAGAAAATAACACTTACTACCCAGGAACAAAAAAAATGGTTACACAGTGTTATTCAACTTGTAAGTGAATTCGATTAACAGTTATTTCGGGTAACAGTCGTTTTCGTGGAACGGATTAAAAAGTTAACCGAGGGACTGTAGTTGCGTTTCTGAAGAACACCGCGTTATGGAAAAATTGCGTTATAATAACATATAATGTATGGTAAATCACAGTACGCGATACCATGTGGGATGCGTACGCAAGCTGAACAAAGACTAAGACGCGTGGGTAGCATCTAGAAGTATCCAGCAGCATCCCACCCTGTGCGATGCTACGCTGAGGCAGCCATACGGCCGCTTATTCCTACTCGTGCGCAACGTAGTGCCGTTCACTCGATCGCGTTATATATACAATTCACGTCATGAAAACATGCGGCGTTACAGGAGAACACGACTGTGCAGCGAAGCCTTGCCCATCGCGGGGGTTACGTTCTTGAAAATAGCCACGATCCACAAACTCATAGGGAAATGGGAAAACTCACAGTTTAGTTCACGGTGCGTAATACAACACCCACCCCTCCTTTTGTTTTATGTTACCCTTCACCGACCGAACACATTGAAAAGGAAATACTTTTTACATAAAATATTCTTATAATTTTTGAGTAGGAAATATAACTTGTACGGTAAATGTATAGAATGGAAAATAATAATGTAGTGTACAATACTCTACACTACGTCCCCCATCTCTTAGCGGTTGTTTTTTTTTACCTGAGCACACGGCTGAGAAGAGATGTTTAGAGGGCCGGGGGTGGGGGCCGACAGCTGTCTGCCGCACTGCACCGTTGACCAATGGAAGAGTGGGAGGTGTGGAGAGTGGGGGGGCTGTTTAAAAAGCTGTCCTTTCCCGTGATTTTAGAAAAGACCGCGGCGCAACTGGGACCTTGCCGCACGCACACCGGTTGCGAAGCACTTGCTCGCAAGGGGTATTTGTCCTTGCTAATGTCTTGGAAGAGGTGGACGTCCCCACATTTTAGCCCACCACATGCAACTTAACTGTAGTGTAAACATTTGTAGTGTAATCGCTGCTGTCCAGCGGCGGCAACTGCGGTGGACAAACAGTACACATAAACAGTACACACGCCGGTGAGCATATTCACGGGTGTGCCGGCAGGGCGGAGGAACTGGGGCAAGGGTCATGGAAGACCCCATCTAGAAGCCCCTGGAACCTGCTAGTGGGTTCGAGAAGAGAGGCGTGGCCAGGGCGGAGCCAGGCACGCTGGGTAGCATAAAAGCAGCTGAGAGCGGGAGCTCAGGGCTACCGGTTTTGGGAGTGGACTCGTCTCTTCGTTGCTGTCGTCTTCGCCGCCTTCGTCGCTGCCGTCTTCGCTCGATATTGCGCGGCCGGATAGTTGTTGGCTGTCTCGGTCAGCGCCTTCAGTGTTACACGGTCAGCGTTGTGTGTAGGTGAGGCTAGACGACTAGGGAGAGTGTGAGGGCAAACCTGTGAAGTGAGAAGCTGTTAATAAAGAAGGTGTCTCCTGGAAACCCTTGGCTCCGAATCGTTGACACTGCACATTATACCGCTGGATGGACAGAGCTGTAAGTAAGTGTAGTGTCATCGGGGATGTCACTGTATGGTACCGGCCTTAGAGGGCCACGGCACGTGATGCACTGTCATCGCATACACCCCGTGGGCGGGTGTAGTACCTGCCCTAGCGGGGCTTGGTGTGCACTGGGATAGCGCGAGCACCACGCATAGCGTGTGCTGCGGGCCCCCACAGGGGGGAGTGAGAAAGTGTCAGCCCAGGGGCAGGGTTGCCCCGGGCCATGGCACTGTGGTTGACCCCGCAGACACGTGATCCGGAGTGTCCACAGAGAGGCCCCCAGGTGGGGGGACTAGGGGGTGATCACGTGTCCGAGGAGAGCTCTCGAGAGGGATCGAGAGGGAGCTGGAAGGCTCCAGAAGGGGGCGGGGCCAAGGGCGGAGCGGCCCCGACCCGTGGGGGGATATAAGGCGGGTCCCTGAGAGGGACCGGGGTCACTGCATTCTACAAGCTGAAGGTCCACATCCACCAGCTGGAGTTCCATGTCCACCAGCTGAAGCTCTACATCTCAAGCTGGAGGCTCTACGTCCTATGAGGCAAACACGTGGTCGTGGACACGAGTGAGAGGGTCCAACCCTTCATAGCTGTAACTCCTCTGTCTAGTGTAGTTAGCTGGGTTATCACCACCCTAGGCTGTATCTGGTGAAGGGGCAGTTACCCTTTTGTGTTACGTGTTACAAATAAATGTGTTGCCTCTAAAAGGAACAATGTCTGCAACTCAATTGGACCCACTACATAAGTACCGCACGGGGAGGTCTTACTGATGCCCTCTAAAAGTCCATCGTGCTAACCCCTACACCACCGTAGCTGCCGTGCTCTATTAAAAAGATGAAGATGTTGCGTTTATTGCTCCAGACATTTATATACGTGCGGCAAACTGCTAAATGGTTTTGTTGGGTTTTAGTTTTTTTCCCATTCGGTTACTGCTTAGGGGCCGTCCATAAATGACGTCACGCGATTTTGGACGATTTTTGACCCCCCCCCCCCTCGTCACATGGTGTCACAAAAAGTCAGACCCCCCTTCAAATATGACGTCACAAAGCTCTGCCCCCCCCCCCCCCCCAAAACCATATTTCCATAACCAACATCAACCGCACCTGTAATGATGATGCACCGAACAACGTGAGAGAGACTAATATTTACTTCCTGCATCCCGCTATTGCTTGGGGGCCAATGACTTGAACGAGAGTTGTACAATCGAAGCAAACAAAGAAAAAAATAACTTGCGCGGCGTTATGAAGAGAAAACTAAATAGATGCAAGGAAAAGTTCCACTGCACTGCGCCTCGCCTGGTGCTGGTGAAGCCTTGGCAGCCATCGGCAATCTAGGTGCTCTGGCCCCAGGGTGAGCAGGGAGAGTGCCGATTCTCTATACCCAGACCCCAGGGTGAGCAGGGAGTGTGCCGATTCTCTATACCCAGACCCCAGGGTGAGCAGTGAGAGTGCCGATTCTCTATATTCAGACCCCAGGTGAGCAGAGAGTGTGCCGATTCTCTATACCCAGAACCCAGGGGAGCAGGGAGTGTGCCGATTCTCTATACTCAGACCCCAAGTGAGCAGGGAGTGTGCCGATTCTCTATACTCAGACCCCAAGTGAGCAGGGAGTGTGCCGATTCTCTATACTCAGACCCCAAGTGAGCAGGGAGTGTGCCGATTCTCTATACTCAGACCCCAAGTGAGCAGGGAGTGTGCCGATTCTCGATACTCTGACCCCAGGGTGAGCAGGGAGTGTGCCGATTCTCTATACTCAGACCCCAGGGGAGCAGGGAGTGTGCCGATTCTCTATATTCAGACCCCAGGTGAGCAGGGAGTGTGCCGATTCTCTAAACTCAGACCCCAGGTGAGCAGGGAGTGTGCCGATTCTCTATACCCAGACCCCAGGGGAGCAGGGAGTGTGCCGATTCTCTATATTCAGACCCCAGGTGAGCAGGGAGTGTGCCGATTCTCTATACCCAGACCCCAGGGGAACAGGAAGTGTGCCGATTCTCTATACCCAGACCCCAGGGGAGCAGGGAGTGTGCCGATTCTCTATACCCAGACCCCAGGTGAGCAGGGAGTGTGCCGAATCTCTATACCCAGACACCAGGTGAGCAGGGAGTGTGCCGATTCTCTATACTCAGACCCCAGGGTGAGCAGGGAGTGTGCCGATTCTCTATACCCAGACCCCAAGTGAGCAGGGAGTGTGCCGATTCTCTATACCCAGACACCAGGTGAGCAGGGAGTGTGCCGATTCTCTATACCCAGACCCCAGGGTGAGCAGGGAGTGTGCCGATTCTCTATACCCAGACCCCAGGTGAGCAGGGAGTGTGCCGATTCTCTATACCCAGACCCCAGGGTGAGCAGGGAGTGTGCCGATTCTCTATACTCAGACCCCAAGTGAGCAGGGAGTGTGCCGATTTTCTATACTCAGACCCCAAGTGAGCAGGGAGTGTGCCGATTCTCTATACTCAGACCCCAAGTGAGCAGGGAGTGTGCCGATTCTCTATACCCAGACCCCAGGGGAGCAGGGAGTGTGCCGATTCTCTATATTCAGACCCCAGGTGAGCAGGGAGTGTGCCGATTCTCTATACTCAGACCCCAGGGTGAGCAGGGAGTGTGCCGATTCTCTATTATCAGACCCCAGGTGAGCAGGAAGTGTGCTGATTCTCTATACTCAGACCCCAGGTGAGCAGGAAGTGTGCCGATTCTCTATATTCAGACCCCAAGTGAGCAGGAAGTGTGCCGATTCTCTATATTCAGACCCCAGGGGAGCAGGGAGTGTGCCGATTCTCTATATTCAGACCCCAAGTGAGCAGGAAGTGTGCCGATTCTCTATATTCAGACCCCAGGTGAGCAGGAAGTGTGCCGATTCTCTATATTCAGACCCCAGGGGAGCAGGGAGTGTGCCGATTCTCTATACCCAGACCCCAGGGGAGCAGGGAGTGTGCCGATTCTCTATATTCAGACCCCAGGTGAGCAGGAAGTGTGCCGATTCTCTATATTCAGACCCCAGGTGAGCAGGGAGTGTGCCGATTCTCTATATTCAGACCCCAGGTGAGCAGGGAGTGTTCCGATTCTCTATACCCAGACCCCAGGTGAGCAGGAAGTGTTCCGATTCTCTATATTCTGACCCCAGGTG